CTAAATTCTACTTTCTTTATAGCAACTGTATTCTGTCGTAGATCGTAGTAGTGTTAATATAGAAAAAAATAATGGTTAAACATGCCTAAAGAAAGTACTATTGTTTAACTGTATACATGTTTCGCCTGAGCTTGTCGAAACATGTAGACAATTAAACAATAGTACTTTCTTTAGGCATTTTTAACCTTTATTTTTTGCTATATATATATGTATATATATATATATATATTCCCTTAATTCACCACAAAATGGAGCCCTGCATATTGGATCTGAACGGCATCTTTAAGGAAAATGATATTAATCATATTGAATTAGAACTGCAGCCACAGTGGTTCCGAAACGTTATTGTCGTCGTGGAACCGTCAGCCACTATTTTAATAAAGCTTGGAATCCTTACCTTTTTTTGAAAAATATTAAGAGCCACAAATTTGTACTTGATTAGTTTTTAAAAAAAAATAAATAAATAAAACGATTACCTAATGGGATGAATGGTTTGGCTTCTTAGACTCTGGTATCCTCTGATTTAATGTTGTATAATTGAATTGTTTTTCTTGAATTTTGTCTCACGGAAGCCCTGACTTGTTCCGCGTATTCCCGAGGTTCCGGGGTACACACTTTGGAAACCACTAGTTTAATGAAACTAACTACATCGACCACATAATTTTAAGTTTAATTGTTTAAATAAAAACTATATTTAAATTTGGAAATAATTATTAGAAAATATGTTTCTATCATGTGACATCTACAAATTTTTAAACACAACTTCCTGTAAACAATAAATATATAGGAGCAAACCCGTTGTAAAATATTGTTAAGCGAACATTTACTGACAATTACTCTCCTACCGACCTCCAAAGGAAAAAGAACGACTATGATGATAATACAAATCTTTAGAGATCACGCCTACAGATTGAGGTAACGATGTGCTAAATATAAATTTAAATAAAACAACACGCCGTGGCCTAAAGCATACTGTTCAAACTTACGTAAATAAAAATATTTAAGCAAATAAAGTGTGTCGTATAATCGGACAGAATATGGCGCTTTCATTACTATCATACAAAATGTCCATCAATATCCCAATATAACATTTCGGAACCTTGGTAAATTGTATTAATCAAGCTGTTTAAATTCCCACATAACAATTGATATTTTATTTTTTCCTTGCCCATGTTCGTACGTTCGTAGTTTCACAATGGTGCTTAAGCCCGTCGGAATAATCGTGTCTGTCGTCTATCATTTTCTGCATAAGCCACGGCTTTTTGGATTTCTTTAAATCTCTGGAGTGACCGAGTCACCAAGTCAGGTTTTGTGAAGTTACTGCTAGTCAGCAAAACGTCATGTGTGGAGTTGTTCACTAGTCAAAAGGGAGGGCACTTTCAAAATTCGGAATTGACTTTAATGCGCAAATAATACAGTGTTTTACATTGTCATTTATGTTTTGTCGTATTATCATAAACGAAAATGCTGAGAAACCAAAGCAATAAAAACTAAAATAATTCGCAGATTGTTATGAAAGTATGTGGTTGTTCATATGCTTCCGGGCGAAAACACCAAAATAAAAATCTATGTGATGTACATCTTAAATTTCCTAATTGTACCTGGGTTTGGTATAGCCCTTTCAAACATTACAAGATGGATACTCTACGTTCAACATACGGTATCAAATATTACAACATCAGATATTTTCGAATGTAATATATGGTTTTCATTTAAATAATTAAACTTTAAACGTGGTAGATTCTCAAGACCAATAGTCCCCAAAGTGTGTTCCCGGAATTTTAGTGTTCCATTTAAAATTATTAAGGATTCCGGTGGATCAAATCTTCCCATTAGGTAATATTTTTATTTTATTGTAGAAATTAATGCTATGCAAAATTCTTATTCATTTTATATGCTGTAGCTTGCTACCATAAATTGTGATTCTTAATATTTTTAAATATAGGTAACGCTTCAAATCTGTTTTAAATTACTGACCGACGGTTTCGCGACAATAACACTTGGAGACCACTGTGACTGCTCTAGCGAATGAATATGACATCGTTTTCTAAAATTCAATATACAAAGACATCTGGCATATTTTCTTTGAAGAAAGTGTTCAGATCATGCATACAGGGCTTGGTTTGGTGGTGAATTAAGGGATTGTTGACATATTATACTATTCAAAAAAAGTAGGGGATATTTGATTTTGGGGGCATAATACTAAAATATGCAAATGACTACGAAAAAAGTCACTATAGAACCTAACAGAAGAAACATTTCCAGTTACATGTGACGCCCAAACGCACCAATAGCTACCGCATGGAATGCAGGTGATGCTTGGGATCATCATGGGGGTCCAACCCAAGATTTGCACGACTCTGACTTTGAATGTTACAGTCATTGTGGCATTGAATTCCAGGGTGGAAACATCAGTTTAATTGTTTTAGTGACCAGAAAACAAATTTTGATATGCGTCGGCTTACCCAAAATGAAAGGTTACGTGCCCTTGGCATGCTACAGATCGGCACAACACAGGCGGTTGTGGCGCGGACGATGAATGTTTCTCAGTCTGTCATAAGCAGGCTATGGTCCAGATACCGTGATACACAATCTGTACAGGACAGACCACGCTCAGGTCGACCAAGGGCGACAACTCAAGCCCAGGATCGATTTATCCGTACCTTGGCCTTGAGAAATCGTGTCATCACAGCAAATCAGATCAGCGTTCGTCTTCAAACAGACACTGGTGTGAGAGTGAGTGGCCAGACGATTCGGAATCGACTGCATAGGGGTCACCTTCGCGCCCGACGTCCTCGCGTGATCCCTTGTTTGAGAGATCATCACATTCAGGCAAGACGTCGTTGGTGTAGGGATCGTCAACACTGGGATAATCAACGCTGGAGCAATGTGATGTTTTCAGATGAGTCAAGGTTCACTGTTGATTTTTTGGACAGACGTAGGAGGGTGTGGCGTCGTCGAAACGAGCGCTTCCAAGACGTTAACGTCATCAGACATGATCGATTTGGGGGTGGTTCTGTTATGGTGTGGGGAGGCAACACTGTTGCTGGAAGAACGGCTTTACATGTTGTTGCAGGGCGTGTTACAGGCCAGTACTACCGGGACAACATCTTGGCAGTCCATGTTGTGCCGTTCGCACGACGTCATGGCCGCCGTTTCATCTTCCAGGATGACAACGCAAGATGTCACAGGGCCAGGATCGTTACAGGTTACCTCCAACAACAGAACATCACCACATTACCTTGGCCAGCACTGAGTCCCGACCTCTCCCCCATCGAGCATGTCTGGGACATGCTTGGACAGAGGTTACGTCAACGTCAACAACGTCCTGCCAATGTCCAAGAACTTGCTGCTGCGTTGCAACAGGAATGGGACAATCTGGACCAAAATGACCTTAGACGTTATATTAGGAGTATGCCACGTCGGATCAATGCTTGTTTGGCAAACAGAGGAGGATTTATCCGTTACTGACTTGGTTGTGATGCTGTGGTAACTTTGCTGTTTGACCCCGGGTATCATTTTACCCTTATAATGGTCAGTCTGTGCCTTACTTAGTCTAACGATCATTTGGAATATATCGATGAATGTGAACTTCATTTCATTTTGTCATTTGTTTCTTCGTCAGTTTCATTAGGTGACTTTAATAACACTTAAAAATCAAATATCCCCTACTTTTTTTGAATAGTATATAATACATAGACCTTACATTGACAGGATACAGTTGTTAGTGTTACAGACAAAGTAGGTAAAATCACAATGCAGTGTGAAAAGTCAGATTAAATAAGCGAAACGAAATTCTAATCTAATTTGAATAGATAAATAAACTAAAATTAATCAAAATGACATTTTGAAAATAACTATTGCAAAGTTGTTGTTGTTATCATATTTTTTTTTATAAAAGTAATTTAAAAAACTAGCCGAAAGATATAACTGTTCGGGGAACACTTCTATCATTTACTGGAGATTGTACCAAGATGTTTGTTCAATGTATAACCATGGGTGGAATTATGACAGCTATCATTACAGAACTGTTTACCTGGAGAATTCTGGGATTCAGTATCTAATAGTTGCAAGCCGGCTGATGAAGTAGATTGTCCACATGGTAATTGTTAAACATTTGTATTGATATTCATATCGTTTCAACTTCTCGTTCTTAATTGAACTTTTCATTTTGACTAAGTACTGGGAGTCACTTGTGCTTTATATTTTATGCAGGAGATGTAGTAAACACAACTTTGGTTGATAATGATAAATTTATAACATTATGTTTTAAGATCCATACCCAATATCCAATAGATGGTAACTACCAGAGTTATCATAGATGTATGGGAGGAAAATGAATTGAAAAGAAATGGGGTTGAACGTCCTAGTATTCTGCTCCGATTGGACTAATGAAGACGGGCATACGCCATATAGTGTGCTATGAGGTAAATGTACACACGGGTCCTTGTTTTTCGTCCCATCCGAACGACTAAACAGATGCCCTTGTCAATCCCTCCATTCAGAACCACTGACAAGTGGAAACCAAGCCGGAAAATCCGGATGAAGGGATCGAACACGCAACCTCCAGGCTAGAGAGCCAGCGTCTTGCCCACTTAGCCACCGTGGCTCCTGTATGGGAGGAAGAGCTACGGTATTGTGTTGTACCATGGACAGGTTGTATGATGGTACTACTTGGGTAATAGATACACGTTTAATATAAATAAAGCTCTATCTAATCTAATTTAACTTAATCTATTTCTCCAGACCGCTGATTTTCGGAATACACTTCATTGAATTCCAACTGTCAAGGGTTCTTTACTGTATTCGGTTGAAACTCGTTTTTGTGGAGTATACAGGTCACAATTCTATGGAATACAATTACTGCTTATTACTGAGTGACGTTTCGACTAGGCTTCTCTAGTCATTATCAAGCAATGACAAAATATGAAAATATGACAAGACAATATATACATGTACACAACAATACTTAGTTAATGCTGACCAACCAGAGATACCCTTTAATTACATGTACCAACGGGATTCTAATTTAATTAAGGATTACAAAGTTTAATGCTAGTAACAACATTCAATCAGATCAATTTACCTGAAAATTAACACAAATTGATTAATTGATTAATGGATAACTTGTTAGATTCCCTTTAGGTACATGTAATTAAGGGGTATCTCTGGTTGGTCAGCATTAACTAAGTATTGTTGTGTACGTACATGTATATATTGTCTTGTAATAAGCAGTAATTGTATTACATAGAATTATGACCTGTATACCCCAGTTCAATTACTAAAATAAATGTCATTGAAACAATTTCGTTTTTGTGGACATGGGAGAAAAAAAATATAACTGAAAGCAATTTGCATTCAATCTAAACTTTCGTGTAATAATAACAATGTTAAATGGCATGTTTATCTTTAATTATCATCATTATTATATACTCTTCAAAAAAAGTAGGGGATATTCAGAAACAATACAAAACAGCGGAAATGCACTGCTGTTTTTATTTGAGGTAACCAGTGTATGTTAATAACAGGCCAATTGCCTACACATGAACATAAACAGTTCATATGGGCGGCTTATCTGACAGCCCATTTCACTCGCAAAGAGATACACTGTCAAAAGTGAAAATGGACGTTTTTGATTTTTGTCTTAATAATGAGTAATTGCTCCACCAATCCTGAGACATTTAGCAATTCGTCGTGGCATGCTCCTAATCAATCGTCCAATCACGATTTGGGGGCAATCTGACCCACTCCTCTTGTCGTACCACGACCAATTCTTGCAGTGTTGTCGGTTGACGTTGACGTCGACGAACACGTCTCCCGATCATGCCCCAGATATGCTCTATAGGGGAAAGGTCAGGACTCATGGCTGGTCAAGGCATAAGGACAATATGGTGACGCTGGAGGTAGTGATTCACGGCACGAGCGCGGTGGGCACGGCATTATCATCTTGAAAGATGAAACGTCGACTTACACGTTAAGCAAAGGGCAGGACTATCGGTGCCAGGATGTGGTCACGGTAGTACACACCAGTGACCCTTCCTTCAACAATATACAAGCCCGTTCTGACAGTCATGGTGATTCCTCACAACACCATAACAGACCCACGCCCGAATCTGTCATGCTGTCTGGCGTTTACGTTAGCATGACGCTCATTTACACGCCTCCAAACGCGACCACGCCTATCGGTGAAATCCAGAGTAAATCTGGACTCATCTGAGAACATTACACGCGCCCATCGACTATTACCCCAATTTCTACGCTGCCTGCACCATTGACGTCTGTTTTCCATGTGCTGACGATGAACGGATGCACAACATGCGGTCGTAGCGCATGCAAATGGGTTGCATGTAGCCGATTTCTAATCGTTTGGGGTGTAACTCGAATTCCTGTAACTTGGTAGAAGTTTACAGAAAGCTAATTGACCGTTTGTCCTCGATTTCGCAGGACCCGTGTACGAATGTGTAGTGGCTCTAGGACGACCCGAACGAGGTACCGGTTCCACAATCTGCTGATCAAAGACTGTGACACATTAAGCATTTGGCTACTGCTCGCTGTGAACATACTCTCAAAGCATGTCAAGTGTCCATGACTATTTATCATATCACAACTTGCATAGGTATTTGCATTTCAATATCCCCTACTTTTTTTGAAGAGTATATTTTTGTTTCTTACCTGGGATGGTTGGGGTTACTGGAGATGTTACGGATGTCGTTACTGGGGCGGTTGCTGGAGTTGTTATTGGTGAAGTAACCGGCGAAGTTACCGGAGATGTTATTGCAGATGTTGCAGGCGACGTTATTGGAGATGTAACGGGAGAGGTCTTTTGAGAAGTTACTGGCGATGTAACGGGGGAGGTTGTTGGAGATGTTATAGGTGATGTAACGGGGGAGGTTGTTGGAGATGTTATGGGCGATGTAACGGGAGAGGTTGTTGGGGATGTTACGGGTGATGTTATGGGGGAAGTTGTTGGAGATGTTACCGGAGATGTTATTGCAGATGTTGCAGGCGACGTTATTGGAGATGTAACGGGAGAGGTCTTTTGAGAAGTTACTGGTGATGTAGCGGGTGAAGTTGTTGGAGATGTTATTGGTGATGTTATGGGGGAAGTTGTTGGAGATGTTACAGGTGATGTGACAGAGGAGGTTGTTGGAGATGTTACTGGTGATGTAACTGAAGAGGTTGTTGGGGATGTTACGGGTGATGTTATGGGGGAAGTTGTTGGAGATGTTACAGGTGATGTGACGGGGGAGGTTGTTGGAGATGTTACTTGTGATGTAACTGAGGAGGTCGTTGGGGATGTTACAGGTGATGTTATGGGGGAAGTTGTTGGAGATGTTACAGGTGATGTGACGGGGGAGGTTGTTCGAGATGTTACTGGTGATGTAACGGGTGAGGTTGTTCGCGAAGTTACTGGAGATTGTACCGGGGGGGTTGTTTGGGATGTTATAGGTGATGTGACGGGGGAGGTTACTGGTGATGTAACGGGGGAGGTTGTTTGAGAAGTTACTGCAGATGCTATAGGGGAGGTTGTTGGAGATGTTACTGGTGATGAAACGGATGAGGTTGATGGAGAGGTTACTGGTGATGTAACGGGGGAGGTTGTTTGAGAAGTTACTGGAGATGTTATAGGAGAGGTTGTTGGAGATGTTACTGGTGATGTGACGGGGGAGGTTGTTGGAGAGGCTATGGGAGAAGTTGTTGGAGATGTTACTGGTGATGTGACGGGTGAGGTTGTTGGGGATGTTACGGGTGATGTTATGGGGGAAGTTGTTGGAGATGTTACAGGTGATGTGACGGGAGAGGTCTTTTGAGAAGTTACTGGTGATGTAGCGGGTGAAGTTGTTGGAGATGTTATTGGTGATGTTATGGGGGAAGTTGTTGGAGATGTTACAGGTGATGTGACGGAGGAGGTTGTTGGAGATGTTACTGGTGATGTAACTGAAGAGGTTGTTGGGGATGTTACGGGTGATGTTATGGGGGAAGTTGTTGGAGATGTTACAAGTGATGTGACGGGGGAGGTTGTTGGAGAGGCTATGGGAGAAGTTGTTGGAGATGTTACTGGTGATGTGACGGGTGAGGTTGTTGGGGATGTTACGGGTGATGTTATGGGGGAAGTTGTTGGAGATGTTACAGGTGATGTGACGGGGGAGGTTGTTGGAGAGGTTATGGGAGAAGTTGTTGGAGATGTTACTGGTGATGTGACGGGTGGGGTTGTTGGAGATGTTACTGGTGATGTAACGGGTGAGGTTGTTGGTGAAGTTACTGGGGAGGTTGTTAGTGAAGTTACTGGAGATGTTATCGGGGAGGTTGTTGGGGATGTTAAGGGTGATGTAACGCGTGAGGTTGTTGGAGATGTTGCGGGTAAAACTAGAGAAATTGTTACTAAGTAAACAAAACAAAAAGAGATCAATATAATATTATGTTGATTGATACAAATAGTGGAATGTCTGTTCCCACGATGCCCTACTGTATTGAAATTACATTGTAAACACTTAGATCTAATGACCATAGAAAATAAACATGAAAAAAAACATATAAAAAACATATTTATCCATAAACTTATTTTATATCAAGATTTAAAATGACAAAACATACTAATCGCTGAAACAATGCTAATTTCAACTCCGCAACTATTAATTTTTGCATTATATATGCCGTTTGTATACAAAGTGGCTGTTTCTGGGTTGACTGTGGTCGACATGAAATGTGACCTAGTTAACTACATTTAGGTCTTCCGAATTTGTAATCATTGTTTTCGTTTTTTAAACATATTTGATGCAACGAAGAACAAAAAAACTTACTTGGTAAACAATTTACGGCGTCTCCCGGCGAACAGCTTGTAGTGTTCGTATCAAACAATTCGCCAGGGCCACAATTATTCATAACTGCTGTCATTGTACCTTGGATTAATGTACATTGAACAAACATGCCACATTCTCCTTGTACTGGTAATATGGTTCCGTCTACTGTGATATCAGAACACCATTCTGTAAATAAAAATACAAACAATGGATATGAATTAATGAAGGGGCAGATAATCACGATATGATACACAAGAGAATTATATATCATGATTTAAATAAACATATATTGAATTGTTTTTAACTGGCGGTATTTTATAATTTATTTATGCATATATACATGTATACATACAGACACATACATCTAAGGAAATAAGCAACTGTAACACAAGTTAAAACATTTAGCTAAGACGACCAAGTTTAAATATTTAACCATTTCTGAAAGTTTTATTTTCAACCATTTCGAAATGAATTAAAATAGTTTAGATAGCCTTAAGCTATAATATTTAACTTACCGTTTGAACAGGTTACCTGGTCACTAGTTCTACAAAATCCCGATGTTGGGTCCCATAGTTCCCCCGAGGCACAGCTATTCATTTCCGGTGTTATGACGCCATTAACAAGATTACATTCGACAAACATACTGCAGTCACCAATCACGGGTAACATGGTTCCACTAACAGTTACATTCGTGCACCACTCTATTATAAAATATGGATATCGATAAAGGATCCATTTGTGTGATCAATGAGGCAGAGAACATTTCACAATTAATTTTTTTCTAGAAATAACACATACTGACCATATTGTACAAATACAAACCCAGCAATAATTGATAATACTGTTTTCTAGCAATTTAAAAAAAAACAAAGTCTTAACGCCCCTTTCCACCTAAATATTTCCTGAGAAGCTTGCTTGCTGGGCCAATCGTGGTTATGAGTCTAGTCCTGCATAGGTGAGAACAGGTAGGCGAGGCAGAAAAGGTAACCTCCATTCACTTGATTAAAGGCGCTCTCGTGCCTTTGAGATACGGTGTCATTTATATAAAACAACAAAGGCGCAGTTCCCGGAGATAAATGTCAAAAGGTAACATTATTCAAGACCACTGTGATGATGAAAACGTTGAGAGAATACTCTTTGAAACGTCGCCCAAATAAATCAGTAGCTGTTTTCCATAAGTATGTTTATAGTTTATTTACATGTAGATGCTGACTGACCCGTGTTGCCAACCTCCTTCCGGACAGAGGTTGACTCATGCCGAGTTTGTGCGCTTGCTGGCCCGTAACCTACCGCATTGATACAAGTGTAAATTCACACGGCTTAGGCGTTGAATAGCATGCCCATTGGCAAAAGTACTTAATATATAGCCTACAATTAGTGAGTTATACATGTAGAAAATTAGTAGGAAATACAATTTACCATTTGAACACGTAACTAGGTTTGCGGGGCTGCAAGTTTTGGTGGTTGAATCAAATAGCTGATCTGGTCCGCAGCTTTGTACCGTAGGTGTTATAACTGCGTTCATTAATTTGCATTCTACATACATCGAGCAATCTCCACGCAATACTAATAAAGTTCCATCGATAGTTACTTCAGAGCACAACTCTACAAAATTCAAAGAAACAAAACATTAGAACAAACAGCATACGGTTATATATAGATGGTCAAAGCTTAATTCTACTTATGGGTGGCAACGGTCATTACGAGCAGGACAGGGGACAGATTGACCATTTGTTTATGTAACTGATGTGAGTGTGATGCAACTTTTTATTTCGGCAAAACATGACCTGATATTATTTTTTTAAAACTCGTACTATATTAACTATACGGCTGACCTGCTATTTAGAATAGAGTTGTCAAACATTCAAATTGTACCTCGTGTGAAACGTTAATGCTACAAATATATTTTTCAGCTATTCCACTTTAAATAGTGTACTTGTTTTTTTTTTCCTGGCCACCCGATATACTTAAAAGGAAGTAAGCTTTTCAATTTACCTTGATAGCACATAGTCTGATCTGCTGATTTACAACTTCTGCTGACTGTATCCCACAATTCACTCCCTGGACAACGTCTCACATCCGGAGTAATGACACCGTTCACTAGGGTACATTCAACAAATCTGCTACAGTCACCAATAATAGGCAACATAGTTCCACTAACAGTAATACCAGTACACCATTTGGGTTCCTCAGGTGGCGGCTTTATTTCAATTACTGAAACTTAATTAAATGAAATTTCGAAATGTGAAACATCCTATTTTTTAAAGATCTATTTTCTCAACAAACTCGATTATAAATATCCAATGATTGGACAAAATATCCCACATCTACCGAGAAAAATATATTGTATCTTTTGAGATACTTCCAGGAAAGCTTTGTTGACATTCTACAAATTTTGATGTTCCCGGCATTATGTAGTACACATACAATAGACGTGTGCTGACGTTACTACAGAACAAACAAAATAATAGTTAATTATCTGTAATAATTAAATCATTCAAATTATTGTTGTCAATTTGAGTCCATATAATTGTATAAAAGTTTGCGATAAAAAAAATTAAGAACTTTAATTGGGCTCCAATACCCGAGGCAACATATCTTTAAAGGTGGTCTGTAACACAACGACCATTTACATGGAAAGCAATAACTCGTGTTATCTGTCCTCAAAGGATTATGTGTTATCATAAATCGTGTATTTGATGTTTTCAATAAATGTTGCTTGGTCTAAACTATTACAAATACAACGTGTCTTGTTTTATCCACTCATTATTGTACAATCGTTATCTACAACCCACCCCACCCCTCCAAGAAATCCTAATCAACAAAGAACAGATTGTCGAAACATAGTTTAAACATTTTTAATTTAAAAACAGGTTTTTAATATAAAGTTTGAGATCATACACAAAAAAATCAACTTTATTAAAAGTTATTCAGTTCGATCAATGATAATGCAAGTTATGTTCATTTACATTGGTTTCTATTGATTTCACATCTCCATCTTTTTCTCTCTTAGACATAAATAGTTATAATGATAATGTTATATTATTCTACATGAAGGCCATTTTATGCCCAGATGAAGGGCACGGATATCTGGAGGCCCACTAAAATTAATTTATTACGCAGTGTGCCTGTGTATAACATTGTTTCTATAAATCTGGGGACACACTGATGAGTTTGGCCTAGGGCCACAAGTAGGTAAATATCAGGCCATGCTCAGATGGACCTAATTAAACAATTGCAACAGTCGGTACAATACAATTGTACATATATTTACCCTATTTACCTTTGAAATGTATGTCAACGAAGGGGATTATTGTGTCTTCAAAATTTCAATAAATGCATTATAATTTGTGTTACTGTTACCCCCAATAAACAGCAATGAAGGGTATAATAATTTCTTTGAACACTATAAAGAACCAGAAAATGGCTTACCATCACATAGTCGTCGTAATAATAAATTCACCAATTGAAAATTAAGTCGGTCTAGTCCAGAGACAGTTCTGGTAAATTGACGGTTGGTTGCCATTTGATTGATTTCAATATTCATCGAACTGGATTCCACACCAAGCGAAAATACGGCGATCCCGGCTGATCTTGTTAAAAACGATTCGTATAGTGTTTGAAAACTGTTTATTGATTTGCCACGACTGATCACAAAAAGAAGTCTTGGTACCGTTGCTGGTACTCCAGCAAGAAATGTTCTCGCTCGAAATATGCATAGTGCTGTGTTGCTGTTGGCATCGGATCCAGGATCCGCCAAACTCCTGACTTGATCTTGGAATGCATCTACATTAAAAGTCGGTTGAACGTAGTCTGTTATACCAAGACTATACGGTATAGCTGACAACATAAGCATAGGTTGTATCGTTTTCCAATAAAAAATAAAATCTGCCACAAAATCAGTAATAATTTGAAAATCTTTATCATTGCTTGTGATTGATCCATCGATGCAGAAAGAAATGGCGGTTGGTTTCAGGCATTCTGAAAAAGATATTATTTGAATTATTCTATTACGAACTTATTATTATCCAGTAAATCATAAAGACCGAGGTCTTACTAACGAAGCTGAGCTACACTACGATGCGTTCTAAGGTATTCTCAGACCAAGAAGATTAACCTACTACATGTCTGAGGTTATTACATATCAAATTGATCTTAATACGGTTTCGGATGGAATGACTACAAAATTAAATGTATATCGACATATTTATAAGAGATATAAACAACATAAATAATTTTTTTTATGTATTAGAAAAAAAAAAATAAAGACGTTTGACGTATTTGTAGGTAAAAATTATTTCCTATTTTGTGTAAATGGGTATTAAAATGAGTAAAAGACACCAATCTACCCGAAACAGTTATGTCTTATGACGCGCCATTGAGTCAATGATTGACCCCGCGTAATAAGACGTCACGTGTTGTAGGTAGTCATCTTTTACAGAGATATTAGAAGACTTTCGTAATCCTCTGTGAAAGAGATTGATAAAATCAAAACAAAGTCATTGTTGTTATTTTCCATGTACGTAATCAAAATAAATATTGATCACATGACATTAATCAAAGCATGCGCATTTTTCGTCATAGCGCTTGGATACATTTGAAAAGATATCTTAACTTGCGGTGTCCCAAATAAACATCCTTAGGACAAAACTATGATAGTCACGAGACAGCTGCATTAAATGGCCCGGATCTGAATATTTCTATAAATTGCTGCGGGATAAATGTCGAAAAATACAAAATAATCATATGTATCAAATCCTTATATAAGTGACCAAACTACTATATAAATCAAATAAAATACATCATTATATTTAATAAAAAAAATATTCCGAAAGAATTGTTAAACCATATGTTAGTCCCGAAATGACCTAGTTTGTGTCGAGTGGACGTTAAACCCCATTTCTCTCTCTCTCTCCGAAAGAATTGTCAAAGATAAGAAATTTAAATACAAGTACAAATTGAGTTTCGTATAAATTATATTTGAAACGTGATCAATTATCCAATATAAAATACAATAGATTAAAATAAAGTGTTTAACTTACGTTTTAAAATATCGGCAACTGGAGCCGGAACAAGTACAAAATTTATCGAAATTATAATTAAAGAAATCGAAGATTTTGTTATCAGCTTCATTATTTGTGATGTTTCAGTAATTCCGACCAGATGAAGAAATATCAAAATCCCTTTAAAAAAATACAATTACTTAGAAATTCGTCAAAACTATAGACTTTGTTTAACATTCCTTTTTTTACAAAAAAAGATAACATGAATGGAAATGTTATATTCCTGATCTGTAATGAATCGTGACACGTTGGTTATTTTAATGCCATGCTATTCAAACTAACAACAAATCTTTATGCATTGTTTTTACCTCAGAAAGGGGAGTTAAACTATGTTATATTAGGATTAGACTGATTAAAAAATTACATATTTAACATTTATTTACTTAATTAAGTTATGTGAAATATATTTACCGTAAATATGGCGGCTCGAAACATCGAAATCCGATTCATTTTATGTGAATATTGTTAAAAAGCTAGTGTAACGAAGTCTTTACAGTGCCGTAAGCGGGAAAGATAACCATCTGAAGGATCGGTGTATAATATTCTAAATATATGTAATAAAAACTATTTTATCTTCATATCTAACTGAATATTTAATATTTAGGTATTTACTGCCATGTCATATTTATATCTCTCTTTTCTTAAGGGCAATGGGCTGTGTCTTGTTTACAGAAATGTTGCAATCACTCGAAAATCTTTATCGTTCTAGTTAATGTGGCTGTATTCAACAAATACTTTAATTACAATGTATGATCAATGTATGATCTAATTATATCTACCAATAGTATTCGTTAAATCCATCTCAATCTCATATTTCAATGCTGCAAGAATCCATTTTTATCAGCCTTGTTTATCACGTGACTTGTTGAGGGAAAATACATTTAGAGATTGTGTTTGTCATTAGTCACTGTCCATATACATTAAATATCGAAGCTTAAGTAAATTCCTGGATTAGCCCCTGCTAATTTCTTTTTCCACCGTTTAATCACATTGTTTAATATGCCATTAGGTCAACGCGAAAGACGAGCTCCTTACGTCACTCGGGTAGACAGGCTGCCTCTTGGGGATACCCTCACATTTTTGCTAGTATGCACTCCATAAGTGTTTTTCAGTAAATCTAGTATATTCTAGTAAGATTGGGTGTCTCTACTTTCCATTTATACCTACATTGCCCTAATATTATCGGAAATAAGTACACGATAAATAATTTTATGTGAATGTATCTTTAAGTTTTAAAACATGCACTATTTGAGTAATTAGTGGTGTGAGAAAAGAAACATCTCTAAGATTCGCAGTGCATCTAATCACAAAAATCGGAAGGTAATCGCAGTAGATATAATGAGTGGCCATTAAAATTTTTGGTAAACCTAGGGATATAAAATGTGTTGAAAATGTATATACATTACCACTAATAATGTTTTAGCAGTTTTTCTTTATCGCTTTGTTTAACGCGGCACAATTATCTCGACTTTCCCTAGGTTCTCTTTATTGGTACAATTAGTAGTAAAATGAATTATATAGAATGTTTTTATTGGTACAATTAGTAGTAACGTGTATTATATAGAGCGTCTTTATTCTAAAAAATTATACACAAAGCCACTGGTACTTTAAAGATGTAATACTAGCCTGTCGTAAATAAAAAAAATAATTTTCGATTGACGTGATTTGGTGTGAAGCAGGACAGGACACAGGTCATCATTGATTTCCTCATTTCGTCTCTTTGACCGGCTATAACATTTCCCCAAAGTTTCGTAGGGTTGAATCATTCAACTTAAATGCTTTCTACCACAGATGGGGCATGCTGTGGCATTACGGTCATGTCTACGATTGTTCGGGGGGTTGGGTGGCTGAATGGTTAGCACGTGCGCGCTGTACCATAAAGTCTGTCATTGAGTCAACTGGCGTGGTTTCGAATCCCCGGTTGTACGTGGCAAGGAGTAGGGTCGCCTGTCCAACCTCGTGGGTTTTCTCCGGGTGCTCCGGTTTCCTCCCACTGCTAAAGACCCCTACGCGCAAGCGAATTATTGAAATAAAATTAAACCATGTGTTAGTCTCGAAATGACCTAGTTTGTGTCGAGTGGACGTTAAACCCCATTTCTCTCTCTCTCTCTCTCTCTCTCTCTCTCTTCTACGATTGTTCGTCTGACAGTTAGCCCATCGTAAGCGCGATAGTTGTTACATTTTTAACATATTTATGTCAAGCATTAGACTCCTGAGCGTTCTGCGTTCTTCATTTCCTCCCACACTGACATTTCCGAAAACCCTGTGAACGCGACAGAGGCTATAGTTTTAAGATGTTTTTGTTTTTGCTGTGAAACAATATGGCCATGAGTGCACGAAGCTTATGGACATTCAGAGTTAGCCCCCCACCCCCCGACAGAGGCTACAGATTTGAAATAAGATCAATTTGATATGAAGCTTTAAATGATTCTGAATGGAATTACGTAAAAAGATGTGTCTGTTTAAATATAACAGGACGAGGATTTAGAACATATCTTTTTATTACTGATGATATTGTATTATAACGTAACGGGATCATCTTAAAGTAGCCACATACAGTTTAGTTGAAAAAATCATTCACACAATTAGGAACTGGAGCGCTAATGAAGACGGGTAAAGTTTGCCCGAACTGTGGCGCTTCCACCTAGTTTCTCCGAATTATGCACGCCACATGTACACGGGACCCTGGACTTTTGTATATTCCAAACGACATGGGAAAACCAGACTGGAACTTTGCCAGTCGGGGTCGAACCTAGGACACCCTGGTTAGTCCATATTCCTGAAGCAATGGCCCGAGAAATCCCTCTGTCCATTGCTGGATTAGCTTCTGATACTTGCGCTTTTGAGGGAGTGTGTCTATTCTTCCCGTTCAATCAAATCTATCCCCAAACACAGCAACACGACAGCTCTTCTTTTAATCAGGGGCCTTCCCTAAAACTTTGGACAGTGATTTAAGGTATTTAAAACGGTGAAAGTGTTGTTCGTCTCAAAACAATATTGTTTACATTATATCCGTATTGATAGCCTTGTTTGTCACACAATTAGTTTTTCTGCAATATTTTGCTATGCACTGGTTAATTGAGAATAATGAAATCGTAAGTCATGACGTAACGTTATGTAAACATATTTGGTCCAATTTGGAGCTCTGTTTGGTATTGTTACGCAGTTAGCTATTGGTTGTTAATCAGACTATTGACCACTCATAATTTAGAACAAGAATTTGCTTTCTTTACAGGAGTGAGTAGTGGGATTAGCTCTAATAAAATGAAACACTGTAAGGAGTTTGTGGTTAGTCAGTCAGTGACATAATCACAGAACTACCACGACTCTCAATCTATCCAGCAATATATAAACTCAATAACACTCATGGTTTATTAACATGCAACGTTTCGACGTTGATACTCTCGTCTTTATCAATATAAGCAAATGATGAACTGACATTATATAATAAACACGATATAAACTATTTAAATAAGATTCTATATATGTTTACTTATTCGCTTAGGTTTCAAAGTAATTTCGTAATAAATAACACGAATACCACTATAATAATGTGTTTCTGGGATTAAATCTGAGAGATTAAATGACGATATATGACTCTGTAAGATCTCACGAATTTTTTGCGTCTACGAAAGGAGTAGATATTAGCTTTCACATTTTCCACCACTTCAATGGAAATAAAAATTACATTGACCAATATAAAATATCAACAGATTTAAATTCAAACTGGGTGATAAGCAATATACAAATATATCTGAGACCATTAAAAATTCCGATATTATCTAGCGAGATTCATAATCTTTGAATTGTTAATATTATGGAACTTTAAATACTGAATGACTTAATTGTGCCAAACCAACTTCCCTCAAACAAATCCGAATATAAGGCTATATTGTGGCATAGAACTTTATTGTAGAAAAATCGTTAACGTAAAAGCTCTCTTCTCCCCCTCTGTCTCTCTCTCTCTGTCTCTCTCTCTCTCTCTCTCTCTGAAAGGCGAAATTTACTGTTGATCTGTCTTCGTCAGTGTATTATAAACTAAACTATTTTAAAAGCCTCTAGGCCAACTTCTAACTGAATAAAACAATGTCCAGGTTAATTTAACAGAGTAACATTTACAACCGTAGGCGTAGCACTGTAATTACTAAAGAATTCCTTTGGTAAATGGTGAAGATTATATATAGGAACTCCCCACAGATTTAATGCTATATTTACAACCACCAATGAAAAGATATTCATGAAGATACCAGTTTTAACCTGAAAAGAAATGATATCAATTTGGTCAGCAATAAATTACCTTTGATAATTTTGTCAGTTAGGAACATAAAAGCGATCATAGATTCTGGCCACTGATGTCGTTCTCTTACACTATGACTTAGCTTATCTCTTACCCGGTTGGTTACTGAACAAGGAGCTCGAGGTGGCTCGGTGCCTAAGAAACTGGCTTACTAACCAGGATGTCTCGGGTTCGCCCCTGGTGTTGCCCAAGACAGTTCCTCGGGATTTTCCAGCGTCGTTTCTCCTTGTCAGAGAAGTAACATTGTCTCGTCTTTCGGATAGGACGTAACAAAGAGATTCCGTGTACACATTGACGTGGGCGAAAAGAACCCTTGGCATTTGGAATTCGAAATAAGAGAAGTGGGTAGTGCCGCTGAGTTCGGGCAAAATGTTCAACACAGCACACTGTATGGCGTATGCTCGTCTTCATTAGCCCAGTCGGTTTAGAAAAGTCGCCCGTTAATGGCCATTTCATTTCATTTCATTTTGGGTAATGCACAATACGAGTGGTGCAGGACAAGATTTATAAATTTTATGAGAAGTAGTTGCAGCACTAGAATATTTAAGCATACCCTGTCTTGTTGACAACACTAACCACTGATTATAACTAAACGCGTGTTTACAAAGCTTGGCTTACCATGTCTTTAACCTGAAGATAACCAGAAGAAAAAGCTATAGCGTTTGGTGGTGTTGCAACTGGTAATAAGAAGGCTAATGACGTCGCTACGGTACAGGGAATCATGAAATATAATGGATTTATACCAAGATCTATTGCCTAAAAGTAAAATGAAATACATCAGTAAACTGAAACTTGGTTTCTCGTTTCATATTTATAGCAGTTTAAATCAAACTATTTCCGCGGCTTGTTGTATATCCTATTATTTATGTCTAATGGGTAAACATAATAATACATGATATAGGAAAGTAATATTAAACACCAATTGGTCTGAGTGTATCTATATGTACAGAAACTAAGTTAGATCGTACTGTATTTTTTGGGTATGTGTAACCTATTTATGTCGAAACATGTGAGTTCAATGGATGTTAAACAGATTAGAGTTGGGTCGAAACAACGTGTTGAATTTGATTTACTTTTCCAAAATCTGTTGGTTGGCTCACTAACCAGTAGATCCGATATTGACCGTGAAAGTTACCCAGGATTTTCCAGCGCGATGTTCCATTGTCAGTAATGCAGGACCGAGGGCCTTGGAAGGAATAGTGTATAGTGGTTCCGATGGGACGAAATACCGAGACGCCGTGTACACATCGACGTGCACGTAACAGAAACCTTGACATTAGGAATTAAATTGCTATTTGGGAAAAATTACCCTTATTGGGTCTGACCGTCTTCTTGTCAGCCAGGCTGGTGAAGAGAAGAGGAAGTTAAACCCCATTTCATCTCCAGATACAAATTTAAATATCGAGAGACACCCTTAATCAACAAGTCCATGTTTGTCCTAATTAAAGTATAGTATAAATGTGTTTTGGGAGCATATTTACCAGCCTACCAACTATAGGTAGAAACAGATTAGAGGTAGCAGCATTACTAGTAATCTCAGTGGCACCAGCTATAATAATAGACAGTAACATAGCGATCACCCATGGTGGTAAAGCAGCTAAACCTATCAAATTATCACTAATCCAATCAGAGAAACCAGATTTCTGAAACATAATATTCGATCAAAGTCATCAAGACTGATTTTATATCTAATTTAATTTATTTTATGCTATTCGATTAAAATTAACCATCTAATACATATTGGAAAACGTTATAGGGAAAATAAAATCATATGCACGTGCCTAAGACATCCGCCCTCCCTCCCTCAACGCTGAACGCTGGATATCACTAGTTGCTGATCTAATCTCCATGTTGGTATTTTTCTATTCATCTTGACGAAGCGGTTAAATTATCTTGCTAACATTCATTTTATTTTTCTTTCCACGCTTAGTTGACAAATTTGCAATGTTTATTAAGAGTAGAATTTAATATACTCTTAAGCTATATATGTTCGTCGACTGGTTCATTTAAAATTGTTTTCCTTTAGACTGATAATGCAGTCTTTGTATTTGTTGTATAAATAAGAAAGACACGGGGTATTTATATTACCTGACAGCCATCAGCTAGAGCAAAGCCTCCTCCCATCAACAATAAAACACCCCAAGCTAACTTCTCATGGACAATCTTCCAATTTAACAAAGGTTCATAAACATAATTCTCAGACTCTGTGGAATTTTCTGTTTGGATAAAAAAAAACTGTTATGAACTCATTTTCCAAAAGTCCATTCGACTGTGAAGTTCCACAGTTATGTACTGTACCTAATTGACATCTAATTAACATCAGCCAGTGGGAGCCTAAGAGCGCGGGAGCCTCTTAAATGGCAGTATAAAAATTAACTTATTATTGCATTTCTATGAAAGTGTAAATTTTATTTTATATTGGTTGGGGTAATGTAGCTGATGAAGTTGAAAGTTATATTCGGGTCCGTCTTTTCTACCCTACGATAATATCTACGCAATCAATTTATAAAATATTATATATAATATACCTATATCGTAAGCTGATGACTTTCTTTTAAAACATCTAGGAGGTTTTGCTGGTAGAATAAACATCATAATACATATCAATATTGCACTTGTAGAATCTTTAGCATATCTAAAAGACAAACAAACATTTCCACAAATCAATGATAAAATATTATCAATAAGCTCTTAATTACAGGTTTTCAATTTCTTAATTAAGGGTATCCAACTCTTAATAACAAAAAGAATAGGACCGATCAGCGATCCCTGGGTGATTCCACAGTTTAAGGCAATTTTTTCCATTAATCCGATTACAAATAAAACCAATGTCGAATGATTTTCTGACCTAATGTGTGATACTCACCCTGGTTTAAATAAAGCTCCCCATCCTGGTACAAAGCCGGGACTTCTTGTTACCCATAATAACACTAATATCACAAAATTACAAGCTACCACTATTTCTGGAAACCTAAAATTCATTGAATTTATGTTTATTGCCATAAGTCCTAATTAGGTTTTATTGGTGAGGTCATTGAAGAGATTTATACAGATGTTTATCAATAATCCAAAATATGTCTGTGTTCATCATTTTATGGTTACGATGCTTAAAATTGAGCTTGTATTTTGCATTACAATGTGGAGAAATTGGGAACTGCACGAAAGTCAATACAAAAGGATTTTTATAAAATAGAATCAGCGGCCAATATTTAATCTTGAGTTAAAGTAATTCTAAAGACATGTATGCAAGTAACGATTGCGGTGTGGAATCTAAACAGTACCATTAGATCCACCATGAACAAAATATCATACTTCCAAGGTGTTATAACTTGGTAGATTTGATTGCTATCCTTAAAAAAATATCCGTTGCTATGGAATGAGTTAAAAACGAGTCGTTCGAAATCTTTTACCGCCCCCATCAAGAAAAGGAGTACATACGTGATGGTACCCATGGCAGAATATTCCTTCATTATTATTTGTTTAACGGGATCAAACGTCATGTCTTCCTTACTTTTTACACATGGACAGCAACTGAAACAGGCAAAAGCATTTCCAATTGTTGTTAGAGTTACACGTCCGCTTCCACCGATGATGATGATATCGCAAACAGGTGATTTTTTTTTTGGTATATTTTAGCGCATGAGCATGCGCCCCTCTACGCCACATCTCAAACCACAAGCCAGGGGTGACAGGCCAACTAAAGCTCGAAGCGAAACTCTAGACCATTGGCCCATGACAAGAGGGGGTTTAACGTCCACTCGACAAAAACTGGGTCATTTGGGGTTTAACATATGGTTCAATTTTATTTCAATACTTCCCTTCCGCGTAGGGGTCTTTAGCAGAAAGAGGAAACCGGTGGACCTGGAGAAAACCCACGAGGTTAGACAGGCGATCCTACTCCTTGTCACATACAACCGGGGAATCGAAACCATACCAGTTGACTCAATGGCAGACTTTATGGTGCAGCGCGCACGCGTTAACCATTCTGTCATCCAACCCCAAATTAGGTTTAAGTAACCAATACAAAAGTCAAAACATATGATCAAGATTGCTGTAACAACTCTACAAAATACTTTTTGATTATTTTGATATATACGTTTGTTGTTTAAGGTATTTGTGAGTAGTGTGTCCTGTCTGTAAGTTCGTCTTACATAGGTAGACGTATTAATAAAAATTATTAATACTTTTTTCGTAGATACGGCCTGCTCTCATTTCAAATTCTAAATTTCAAGTTTCCTCTTACTTTCACGCCAATATGTACACGGGACCTCGGTTTTTCACCCCATCCCCTCCGTCCTGCAACACACCTGAAAATCACGATGAACTTTCTCGGTCAACACCGCGATCGACTACGGGACCTTCAGGTTAGCGAGCCAACGACTTACTCACAAAATACAAAGCAATATCCTAAATTAAAAGACTTACTATTTTCCTTTCATAAAAAAGGTTAACCAGCCCCAGCAGAATATAAATATAATTGTCGAAATGGGAAGAGCAAAAAGCATCCAGTTAGCAAAATTGACATCATTTTCTGTATTATATTTCTCATATAATCTATAACATAGAAATTATTATTTCACTATTATTTACTAGGATTTTATATAGAGCCCAAACAAACGGGAATATAGTTTCACATTTAATTCATTTATTCAGAATCTTTCAGAATCTCTTGGAGATGTCGCGGAAGGTATGGACTATAGAAAACATTTCTTCAGAATTATTGAGGATTTTGATAAAATTGTGGATGTGTTATTGTCGAAGATCATGCATCAGAATGTAAGGGGCAAATTAAAAGAAAATGTTCAGTCTTCGAAGTCGTGACCACAATCACAAGTAGGGCTGTCAGAAGTGTGTCTGAGAAAACGATGTCCATTCAAGTCACTGCAAGAGAGGTGAAGGCGAGAATTGTGAATCTGTTTTTCCTTGCTGCCCGAGTAGTAAGTTGAAGGTATAAGTTTATCAAGGTAGCTGAATTTAGATTTAAAAGAGGGTAGTAGGTAAGTTTCTGGTAGGAAGATCGAGTTGATTCCGTTCTCTAATTGTAGACGGGATAAAAGAAGAATAAAATAAAGTTATGCAGTAATATGTGGGATGTTATTTTGGCTGCGTACACTATACGAATTTAAATTGGGTTGTATCAATTGAAACATGTTTTCTTGGGTGAAATGGTTTATGAGTAAAGAATAACATTAATAATGTCGCCTTCTTCTCTCCTGCAGTGTGATAAATCCTGTTTCCTTATATAAAAGTTGGTGACTTGTACCATTCACAGCACCGCATATAGCTCTGGGTGCATCTAATTGTAAAGTTTATGTGTTAGCTCTCAGCGGTACTCACATCCCAGTAATCAAAATGAGGAAGAATATATCAGGGTCCGCATTCAAAGGTTTTCTTAAAGTTAAGTAAAAATACTTAATTTTTCCACTTAACCAAGTGTCTTACCTTAAATAGGTATTCAAAGGGTCTATTTTACATATACTTGGCTATGTGAAAAACTTAACCGCACACTTAAAATATGGAATAACAACATTAGCCAAAAAGCATGAATTTTTAACTTATGGAATACCCTACACTGCCAAAAATCACGAATTACTCACGTCGAATGCAAGTTATGTCTCCTTAAGAGCACCACTATACTCTATTAAAATCTTAGTTGTCATTACTAGGAAAATGTTTGTCGAAATATTATATTGTAACGCACGAAAATAATATGACTATAACTTATGATAAATTATGATGGTACGCATCCGTTACCGGAACAGCTGTTTTCGTATAGATGTTTTTCAAAAACAATAGATTTCAATAGCAGTTATCGAACAGTGGTAGTATAATGATGGATATTGTAAACTTTATCATAACGAATAGAAAATAACAAATTAGCAATACACAGGGCTATTGGCTTTAAAGTTTATCAATCTATCATTTGAGAAATTCATAGAAATTGTGCCAGTTCCTAAACTTTAGAATCCCAAAGGCCTGGCCATGAAGGTACATTGTGAATCTTTGGTGGCACGCTTCGGTCAGCAGTCATCATCATATTTGTAAATTTATACAAACGAAGACAAGAACATGTAGCAATCAAAACTTCAAATATGTATATGGGAATGAATTGTAAAAATTAACCATGCCATGCCGTATTAATATCTTCTGAAATCTACAATGGAATGTCATCGCAATGTCAAATTTACAAATAAATTTAACGCATCAAACTTTATTATAGGACAGTCGTGGCAAACATGATTCATTAAGCAATACGAACATGATAGATGATCGGGAAAAACCCTATTGATCATTTCGGTAACCTTATACACTATTATGATTCTAGAAAATCAAAGCTGATTATGAAAAAAATCGTTTGACGCCAACTACGCTCAGCGACATTGTCTTTGTTTTAATCTCAATTCCCTAACTTTTAAAATCGCCATTACGGACCTGCTACAACATTGTGTACTCCGGTTAACAGAAGTCATTATAATCTCACTTAACTTTAAGGTAGATTCCATAGGTTACTTAAAGATAAGTGGATTTTTCTCACTTAAACTGGCCTTTGAATGCCACTAAAAGACTAAACACTTACAAGTTAAGGCAGCTTAACTTTAAGTGAAAATTCGATAATTAACACTGCCTTTGAATACCACTTACCCCTAACTTACAGTATATATTTAAGTGAAATCTAGTAGTTAAGTGACTATCTTAGACATAAGATATCCTTTGAATACGGACCCAGGTACACATGCTTTGGAGATATCTACGACTTGACATATATTTTAATGAGCGAAGGAGATTTACAAGTTAACTTGTGTTAGCCAAAATCTTATTTGTGTGAATATCCCACTTGCAGTTTGTTTGGAAAGTCAGCTCCAGGTGTATGTGCCCAGAATCTTCTTTAATTGCAACATTGTCTAGATTTAGCATCGGAGGAATTAGACTTTTTTTATTTCCTAGTGCTAGTGTCTGTGCTCAGAAACTTCTTTAATTGACACATTGTCTAGATTTAGCATCGGAAGAAATATGTTTTTTTTATTTGCTAGTGCTAGTGTTTCAGTTTTCAGCGGGTTAAGATACAGGCCACGTCTTAACCCAACGATTTATTCTCTCTAGATCACCATTTAAGACTTCCACACACTCGGTGGGGCCAGTTATTTTCCGTGAATAACCCAATGTTTGATTTTATGTTATTTATGGTTTATGTATATAATGAAAGTAATTTAATCAAAAGGGAGACCAAAGGAAACTAAATCAATTAAACGAACTGGCTTTCATATCATCATGGAAATTTAATCCAGAAAATCTTGCCTTAACATTGGTTGAAAAAACACCTCAGATCAACATCCATGGCGATATAAATGGATAGTAAATCCGTAGCAACATGTTATCCTACACTTCGCAATTGTAAATAAAAAATCACAACAAACCCATCAGCGATCCCTTTGAAAATAATATTCGGTGGAGTCCCCGTTAACGTGGCCATACCACCACAGTTAGCTGCATAAGCTGCACATATGGAAAATGATTTTGCCAAAATTGTGAATTCTTTATCTTCTTCTTCTGAAACAGAACTAATTAATATAGTTAAGATCAATACACTATGTTAACTCTATACTTTCACATATACCATAATACTAATATAACTTGAAATCAAATTATTCAAATTCGTAAAGATCAACATAATATTGTCCTTTAAGGCAGATGTCTGTGTATCATGGGATGGTAGGCAAGTTTATAAGAACGTAAGTAACTATATGCGTACCTCGTGTTAGCTTCATCAGAGTCGTCAATGTTCTCATTGTGTGTTGTCTGACCATTCCCTAACTCCGATAACATTATACCACTCTGATTTCTAACTAAAAGAATCATAGAATATCAGACCAAAGCTCTCAATCCTCGTAAAATATAAAATAAATCCTCTTCATTTATATTGTTGCTTATATAAGAAATTTAAAAAACACAACTAAACAGGCGTAAATTAGTTCTCTTGTAATTAAAATGCATACTATATCATCCTGGGATCGACTGTCAAACCTTATAATCTAGACCACTGGCCCCATTTTCTTCAGACAAATGAGCAGTGGTGGGGGGGGGGGGTAGAGGATGGTGTTTGGAGTCCAAGATGGGGACAACTTCAAGTCTGGCGTGACTTCTGGGGGATTAAACGAGAATTTTATAAAGTCAATAGCCCTGAGACAATATTTTGGCTCATTTAGGTGCATACATGTATAGGAATAGCGTGGAGTGAGGCCAAGGCTTATCTTCTGAAAGTCAGATTCAAACTTTCTAAGCAGTGACGTGAGTCGTGCACGAATCAGGGAACTCGTACTCTTATAGAACACTGTTTTGTTTCGATGTACATTTCTACGCTGCATAAGTACAACAGACTGTGTTAGCTATGTGACCTTTTCAATTGAAAAATAGTTACTGGTGTTCTAGATTAAGCATTACCTGCCTCACACAAGTCGAACAAATCTTAAATAAAACGTGAGAGATTTACTTACTCTTTTGTCTACATTCTTTTATCTGATGCAATATAGCTATAACTATTGGCATCATCATAGCTGTCGTTGCTGTATTACTCATCCACATAGATAAAAACCAACATGGAAACATAATACCTAACATCAACCTTAACATAAATAAACCATAGAAACATAATACTTATCATCAATAAAACATAATACCTTACATCAACCTCAATATAAATAAAACATGGAAACATTATACCTAACATCAACCTTAATAAAATTAAAACATAATACCTAACATCAACATTAATATGAATAAAGCATAATACTTCACATCAACCATAAATAAAACATGGAAACATTATACCTAACATCAACCTTAATATAAGTTAAACATTATACCTAACATCAACCTTAATATAAGTTAAACATTATACCTAACATCAACCTTAATATAAGTTAAGCAATATACCTAACATAAACCTCAATATTAATAAAACATAATACGTAACATCAACTTCAATATAAATAAAACATAACATTTTTTGGCGTCAAATCCGTTTTTTAATTTTCCCCAAACAAAGAATGTACAAGGCAAACAACGGGTTTTAGTCAGAAATCTTCTAATGAAAATCTTTTAAATCCTGGCCTTTATTCTTTCTTTTCACTTTCGATTATTAAAGTACAATAGCATCTTTAAAATCTCTTTTCTGATAAATTACAGCCAATTGGCCTCTTTACTTCACAAAGTTTGAGGCAGAATAGTTTAAACTAATCATTATTATCTTAAATCACATTTAAAAGAGGCCAAATTAATAAAGAAGAGATTCGACTAGGTGGTGTATTGGATTCGGTCAATATAAACATCTAATTTAAGTTCTATTGTTCTCGGGGACTGTTTCACAATGTAAACATGATCCTTTTATACACAAATATTATTTGTTGTGACTTTTTGATTAAAAGACAGATGGTGGATGGTTTAGGTTCAGCCATGTAATTGTTTTTCATATGCATTGCGAAACGGGACTTTGATATGCTTCGTACGATGTTTTTTTTAAATTTTTATATATACATATAGATATTATGTACATTACATTTGCAGACTTACCATTTTGGTTCTGGGCCAACTAGAGTAAGTGTCCTCAATGCCAAACGTTTATGTAAATTCCATCTCTCTACGGCTACTGCTACAATAAGACTACCGAGAAATAACATTAGCGTGTCCTGAAGTAAATATGCCGATAATTATGATCACCAGTCATGGTGTTAAAAAGTATTAGAAAGTTGTCGAATTCAAAGGACTACCTTGAAGCCGCTAATCGCCACTTCCATTTTTCGGACAATATCAAATTTTAACGCTAATCCACACTAATAAAAATAACTCCAAATCTGTGGGGTTTTTTTTTATAGATTCGACGTTTACACTATTGTAGTAAAGTTGCAAGCAATTCATAATACCTATAATGATAATCAGCAGTTTTAAGATACAGGAACACAGGGAGAAAGGGAAATTGGTTCTTTTTAGACGGTTCAAGGTAGCGTCTTGATACCGGAGATACCTGAGATAACGCACATTGAATCAAAATAGGGAAATTAAATATAAATAAAATTCAGAACTCCAGTACGTATGATTTGATGATACAGTGATCAAGCATTACGTCACATTTAGTGCAAGAGAGAACATCATATTTAACAATTATTCCTAAATATATGTAGAAAATATCATAAGTACTATTCTTCGTAAAGGGGCGAATTTTTAAAATTAGGTTTATTTTCAAATAAGAAATTATCGCTGTTAATTTTGTTGTACAGGCTACTTTACTTGATTTGAACAAAAAGGGCTTTATCCATCTGTTTTTATAAAATGTCTTCCATTTTTTGAGTAGGCCCCATATCGATCAGGGTCAACGACTCAGGCCAATCATGTACATTTTATGAACATGTGAGTGCGTTACATTGATTAAAGACAAAATGCAATATCTAACCTGTTGAATGTACCTACTGGAGCAATAGACGCCCATGGAATCAGGTCGGGTATAAATGAGTAGCTCTTCGATACAAAGTTAAAATATATTAACGGTGAATACACGATTTGAAAACATGGTTTCGTCTATTAGTAATTTCATGATATACATGTACAGAATTGTAATACCTTAACATAGCTACTGCACACGTCCTTCACAGACATTAACCCCCATAAAGGAAATAGAATGACTGGTAAAAGAGAGGTAACTGCTAGTGGTATGATTTCAGTCATCCAAAAGAGGGCTATAACTATAACACAGTATGCACATCTTGAAACCTAAAAAAATATCAAAAATACAACATTATTACAAATATTATTATATGTACTTATCACACACACCGTTTGGGGTGCTCTAAATGATATATCTTTGAATCACATTAAGATATACCCCTTTTTCGTGTTTTAATTTTTTTTGGTGCTTCCGATGATGTAAGGGTGCAGTGAACGCCTCCTGTTCCATTCACTTTAGTTTGATAGTACGTTTTGTGTTTATTATCTGCAATGTCCGTTTGTTGTATATTGAATGTGTCTGTAGGGTTGTTATATGCGGTACAGACTTACTGTAAAATTGAGATTGTATTTAAACATCCGCTATCGTATTTCAATGCATGCATATAACTTTTATATCCGAAAGAAATGGTACTTATTCGCTAACCAATTCGTTTTGTCCCTATTCCTGTCCAGAAATGCTTTATAACGAATCGTGTGCATCGTATTGTCCAACATTCTATGAAACATTTACAATTCTCCTTGGATTTTTTTTTCTTTTGTTTGCTGGGTTCTTTTTTTTTGTTACTATGGTAGAATTGTCTCTTCATCAAGTAAACATGATATATGATCCGCCAAGAAATTATGTCTCTAATGATATTTTCCAATTACAAAATATCCACCCAGGGGTTTCAACTATAGTACGACAAATACTATTGAAGATGATAAATGTGGAATATTCGTGTGATGTCAGTTTGATGATAATCAAACTATTAGATCTGTATCTTTATATCTTAACCCCCCCCCCCCAAAAAAAAAAAAACCAAACCAAAACAGAATAACAATTACATTACTGAACCCTTGTGGTTTATAAAAAATACTTCAGAACAACCAGATTTTTTTACAAGCCGTTTAACGATGCTATTGTGTATTTGGTGCCGTATTTAATGACGAAATTAGCAATTAATGGCTATTGACATATTGTCCGATATGACGCAGCTCATTATTTCACAACACCCAATTTTTAGTCTCAAAGATTACTTGCATTTAGAAATATAAGAATATTCAACATGCAGAAATGTATTATTTTAACAGTGTAGTTGCGTGTAATTTTATTTTCCCAGTCGGTGTATGTATTTTTTGTTGTATTGTCATGGCGCAGAAAAGTAGGACGTTTATCTCCTTTCCATTTCTTTTTCTATGGTGGTGTGCATGCTTTATTGTGGTGTTATTAAACAGTGTTTTGGTTTTACGTGGTGTATATATAATAGTTTTGTGGTAATATTAATTTTATAGTGTTGTGGTTCTATGTGTTCTTGTTTATGTAGAATAGCCATGTGGTGTTATCTTATAATGTTGTGGTTCTATGTATTTTATGTGTATATATTTTATGTGGTGTTATTTTATAATGTTTTGATTCTATGTGTTTTATGTGTATGCAGAATAGTTGTGTGGTGTTATTTTATAACGTTCTGATTCTATGTATTTTATGTGTATGTAGAATAGTTATGTGGTGTTATTTTATAATGGTGTGGTTCTGTATGCTTTATGTGTCTGTAGAATAGTTATGTGCTGTTATTGTATAGTGTTGTGGTTCTATGTGTTTTATATTTATGTATAATAGTCATGTGGTCTTATTTTACAGCTGTATCGTACAGGTGTGTGCGTCTTGTGTCTATTTTGTATTGGGGGAGGGTAGGATGGCCGAATGGTCAGTACGTGAGTACTGTATCATAAGGTCTGTCACTGAGTCAACTGGCGTGGTTTCGTCGATTCTCCGGTTGTACGTGACAAGGAGTAGGGCCGCCTGTTCAACCTCGTGGGTTTTCTCCGGGTCCTCCGACTGTTAAAGACCCCACGCGTAAGCGAATTATTGAAATAAAAGTAAACCCTATGTTAGTCCCGAAATGAACCAGTTTGTGTCGAGTGGACGGTAAACCCCATCTCCTCCGATATCCCCCACTGCTAAAGATCCCTACGAGTAAGCGAATTATTGAAATAGAAGTAAACCATATGTTAGTCCCGAAATGACCTAGTTTGTGCCGAGTGGACTGTAAACCCCATCTCTCTCTCTCTCTTGTTTTATCGTGTTATGTTAGCTTGGACTGTCAGGGCTGTTTTTTTGACAAATGATAATGTCTACTACGCGAACCCCATAAATCATGATATGTCATATATTTTCATTCATACATGTAAATACACTAACATGTACAGCCTACAAAAAAATAATGTCATATAATGAATGCAGTTTAACGTTTCGCTGACTCATCACATCAGTTATTATGATTTTATTTGAATTCACTACCTCAAACCGTGAAACATGCATCTTCATGTTTTATTTTCAAAAAGGAGTTACTAAAACATATGTGTCTTTTAATCCTTGTTAATTACTATTGTCCTTTGAATTATGTTTATTTGACTTTTTTTTTCAGTTTTTCCGCTCGATATACTTATAAATGGTATGTGCACTTTGTAAATAATATTTTTAAATATTGTTACGTTGTTGCTAGTTTTATAGACTAGGGGGGGGGACATGTTGAAAATTAGAACTGAAATGAAATGAAATGGGGTTTAACGTCCTACTGTTCTGCTCCGAACTGAGCTAATGAAGACGGGCATGCGCCATACAGTGTGCTATGAGGGAAATTTTGCCCGGGCAGCGGCACTACAACCTATACTCTTATATCGAATTCCAACTATCAGGGGATCTTTTACGTGCACGCCAATGTGTACACGGGACCTCGGTTTTCCGTCCCTTCCGAACGACTAGACAGCTGTCCTTGTCAGGCTCTCCATCCTGCAACACTGACAAGGGGGAACCACGCCGGAAAACTAATGTACTACAGTCAATATTGATTATTTTAATTTTTTTATTATTTGTATTTATTTTCGATTTTTTTACCAGATACCGGCGATTCATCCTAGTCTTCAGGATTAATTTACATGCAAGCTGATGACCCTAGGTTGAACGTCAATTACTAAGTACCCAGATTTTTTTTTTGTTTTTTTGTTTTTAAGCAATATTTTGTTCAGATTATTATCTGAATAGGGATTGGGGAACCGGCATAGTCTATATTATACCCCTCTCCCTGTCACATATAGATACATGTATTTACATTTTAGAAATAAATAATCAATGTACGAGTGAAAATACGATTACAGTGAGTGTGTTAAATAGTTGTCTCTGGAATGGATTTATATTTTAGAAATGTACAAGTGAAAATATAATAACAATGAGTGCGTTATAGTTTGTCCCTTGAACCGCCTGGTGATTTCGAAAAACGAGTGGACAGTTTTAATAATATTGAGTGAGTTTTCCATGTCGACAATTCCATGCAATAAGACAGTGGTGTTTCGACGGACAGTGGGTAAATGATTTATCGGGCATCTGAATATAAGGAGCAATTCAATAAAAAATGTTCAGTATCTTCAAAGTGATGACCACAATTACAGCATGGAAATGTGACGTTAAAATTTATGTCCGTTTAGACTGCTGCAAGAGAGACGTAGTTCCGAATGAATAATTTGGTTTGCGCGGGATCGAATTGAAAATATTTAGAGATATTGAATTTTATGTGTCTGCACTTAATTTGTTCCATTCTCTAATTGACGATGGTATGAAAGAATTATAGAAAACATTTGTTTTACATTTATATTCAGGTAGGCTTGTTTTTCGGAGACTATAATGTGCGCTTTTTGTCAAGATTATCCACTTAATAAATAGCAACGCAAAAATACAATTTATGATAAAATAAAAGTGATAAAAAAAAGCATTTGACTAGTAGTAAACCAGTAAAAGAAAAGACAATGTAAGATTACATAAATATTAACTACACCTAATAACAGAAAATGTATAAAATCAATAAAAGGCCTGTTTGAATAAATAAGTTTTCAAATGTATAGCCGATGGTGATTTCAATTTCTTCCAGAGTAGAGGTACATAAAATGAAAACGACCTCTCACAATAGAATGCTAGTGTGGGTCGATGTCGTACTATCGATAAATCATCCCTAGAAGACCATGTATGTCTCACGAAGTGAGGATTTGTAATACTTCTGACATTACGAAGACGCTAAACGATTAAGACATTTGTTTGTGATTAACGATAATTTAAGACAAATAATATTCTGAATGATACAGGGAGCCAATGAGGGCAAAACAGAATTGGAGTTATGTGCTCCTGATAACCAGCACCTGACGTGCTCTGGGGGTTTTCAATTTTTGTAGTTTTGAAAGAACCCCCCCCCCCCCCAGTTAAGAAGGAGTTCAATCAACCAAGACGTAAATAAGAAGAGATTAAAGTAGCATCAACAGATTTACGTATTCCACTGTGCTGAATGTTTATGCTGGGTGGGTGGTATTCATAATTTGAGTAATACGTCACGATAAGGTACAAAGAGCTCATGCGTGTATAATATGCGAATAAATTAAACATCAATAATGGCTATTATATTGACTTCATTGATTATAACAAACAAGTTCCCTAATTGTGTCGCTTAGAGGTAACAAGATAACCTAGATATAGCACGTGTCCGCTAAACATGTCCGCGTTCCGCCGATTCAATGCAAGCGTTTCAGCTAGTGAGAAAACGCAAGGAAAAAAGTTGTTCATCGGCGATTTTTCGGAGGTTTTTTTCGCGTCTGCTATGCGCATCCATATAGATGTACGAAGCCAATCAACCATTATTTGGGACATGGTGTTTGTTAATGTCATTTCAAAAAGGCGGTGATCGAATGAAAACAATGTCGGCATGCACGCTGCAAAGATAAATGATCATTTATTACATCATGAACCTGGAATTTCCCATTCATTCATTCATTCATTCACTTAGATGTTAGTAGGCTGGTTTAGTGGGACCACTGATCATTGATTCTGTTGGTTACTGTTGACACGGGGCAGACTAAGTCTGTTTTTCAATCTCTCCGGAACATCTGATACCGTTAACTAGAATCGTAGGCTTTCTTCAAGAACAATACCCAACAAAAGTAAATACACCATGCAAGAACGTGGTCACGGTAATGGGTCTCTCAATTATTTAATACAACTATTAGTTTTTACAGTTTAAATACTTTCAAATACCATATTACTTCATAGCTATCATGGCGTCAAGTCCAGTTGGTAGGTATAAAGTTACATGTGCATGTGCTGCATATATTCCAATGTCAACTAATCAATACAAAAACAAAGAAACCATCTAAACAGTGGATATCATGTTCGTCTGGATGTGACGAAACTTGCAGATGTATATACACGCACTGGTATTTAAAGTAAACGGTAAATTAATACAACGTCACGACCATGACAACATTTTATTTAATACAAGGGCCCGACATACTTTACACTTCCCTGAAATGTTGTTGAATAAAACGGGCTTCCTTCGCCTCGTTATAGTCTGATCATTATGTGTATATTTTAACTTGTGTTAGTTGAAAATACTGTCTTCGGTTTTCCCCTTTGCTGAACATTCGGAAATACCACACGGCATGTTATAATTGTGGTTATAGGCCGTTTCAACCTAGATACGATATGTTTAACTGAGTAATTAGATACTTACATCGTTGGGGTGTAAAACTGGCAACGGTAAAACAACCAAAGGTACCAGTACAGAAAACCAAAGTGTAGAACATTCACGTATACTCCTTAAGCAGTCCAGTGCTCCCATTCTTGTTCACTTTTAAGAGTCCAAGTCACGACCCGCTTTTTGTCTAAAAATCCTTAGATTCTTACAGATTTACTAACACAACGATTCGAGATGATGTATTACCTCGTTTGGCATCCTAATTTCACAATCTGCGATAAGAATTAAAGTCACGACAAGCTTAACGTCTAAAATCCTGTGATTCGCTCAGTATCCTAATTCAACAATGTGCGATACGAATCCAATGCACGACCGCTGACTTCTAAAAACCTTTGTTTCTTAGGTAGCTACTAATATAACGACCCGAGACGACGGATTATCTTGCTTGGTGTCTTAATTTCACAATGTACAATATAAATTGTAGAGGGAAGTTGTTTTGTCGAATGTAGGAATGTTTTATCGCCCAGCTATATATTATAGTATATATAATACTATATATATATATACAGTGTAAGACGACAGCAGCTGTTTGTAATTTGTTTTATAGCATACCGGCGTTGTCGTCCTGGGTTTACTCTATAGATACATAAATGTAATAGAGCTACATAAACTTGTCAAATAAAAAGTGGTCTCAGAGATGTTCTGTAAAATGTAAGCACGCCCAGGTTTTTACATAGCCACCATTACTCACGCCGAACAGGGGCAGTATTTCGAACTTAGATGCCATAAAGCCGAAGCTACTAAGTAGATGGTACTCTCGGACTGAGAAGATGATAACCCCAAAGTCCAAAACCATCCACAGCCATGTAATTCATCACATGGGTGAGTAGTTGCGTATCCGATCATAATTTAACTGTCGCCACATATGCAATATTCCACTTATCGTAAAACCGAATGGAATAAAAGGTTCCGTATCATAGATATCATGGTGATCATACATTTCAATGATTCACAATGTCTGTCTATGATTTCATCAATCCTTCAAACACGACATTTTTAGGGCATGATGCGATTAGCCACTACCTATTACATACTCTGACACATTTAGTTAATAATCTAACAGGAGAGTTATGTCTAGGTGAATGATATAAAAAGAAATTAATACGTTGTTAAAAATAACAAAATATATCAACATGTATATATTGCTTTCCTTGTGTTATTTATTAGTAAGTGCAGGGGGGCTTCACCACACAAAATTTACACAAAAACAAATACACGGACAGGACATCATACTCAGGAAAACACAAACATACAGACAATTCAAAAAAAGTGAATGGATCCGGGGGCTAGCCGTAAGCGTCCACTGCGCTGTACAGAGTCATGATCTGCTATATGCTACACGAAGTACGAATGTAAGCATATGTAGTAAAATTCAACTATACAAGTAACCACATCGGTGAAATGTATAAAAAAAGTAGTCTAAACTCTTAAATTCAATCAAGAAATGCTTCAGTATTCAATACATATAGGGTACATGTTCCATCGTCACAAAAAACAAAACTGAATACAAAGAAGCAAATATGAAATGTAGACTGTCTCGAGGGACAGCCGTCTGCTGACTGAGAATGACGTCATATCTTAGAAGGTGATAAAAAAAATCACAATAATAAGGGCGATAGGCCGATAATCCAGATAAAATAACGTTAAAAGCTTAAAAACCATAAGTTCTAGTGACTAATCGGAATTATTAAGTTATGTAATTGTACAATATATAATATATTAATATAATACCCCACATAAGAAATGCAAAACAGGTATGTTGAAGAAATCGTACTATGTAAGTGTATTTATAAAGGCAAAACATTAAGGGAGGTAATTCAGACAGGATTAGGTAACTACAGAAAATCTAAAATAAAATTTAAATTGGATCATTATTATCCAGTATGAAGTCGGTTATATACTTACAAGAAATGTCAAACTTGGTATGTTGAAGTAATGGAAGTTTTGAAATTTCTTTTAAAATTCGTAATTGTGTAGCGCCTTTGGCAGTGCATTTAAAGTAAAGAGATTTTATTCGGGAGAGAAATAGTTCTTTATTGTTATATATTGTCAAAAATCGTAATGCCGTGGCTGAGCTAAACAAAGCCAGTTATTATCACCCTACTTCCCTGCACAATTTATATGCTATTATTTACCAAAATTATTTCTGCATAAATTTTGATAACATAAGCAGTGTTTAAAGCGAGAATTTCAAATTTTCTAAGAAAGTCAAAACATAATTATTTCTATATTTTTTGCTCAATAGGTTATCAAATCACTATTATACGATCATGGGCATTATTTCCCGCCCTTAAAAAATCTATGACACAGGAAATAACAACACAATTACCTCCCCTGTTTTGCTATTGACAACATGGGGAAGCCATTTTCTAACGTTGGAATTTGAAGATAAAAATGATATTTTTGCCAATTTTTCAGCTGGCAATAACGAATTATAGGATTATTCTTTAACAAGGTAGGACTGTTTATGGATACCATCTATTTTAAGGCTTTATTTTAATACATTTTAAAAATATAACTTGAAAATTTGCAATTGCAACTTTAAGTTGGATGACATTCATTTTCGCTCAGGCAACAATAATCCGAAATACGGCTTTCTCTGGGATGTTTTTTTTTTGTTATAGTGTATTTTGGTATATATTTTATTATATAATTTTAGTTAAAGTAGTAATTGACCAATGTCCGAATTGATATCTCACTAATCTTTCAAGTCTTTTAACTGTTTGGGTTTATACTTAATGTAACGATATAATATATTACGTAATTATAGTTAATACGCGTTCTTGCCATGTCCATATCTTCTCCTGTATTTAAACATCCGTTTCCTATGTAACATTTATGATCAAATATATGTTATATAATAAAATAGATACACTACAACAATTTCAACACGAACTTGACAGACTCTAATGATGTTGTTTCAGGTTCAGTGATAGTAACATCGGTCTGAAAAAGTAAATGGTGGCTGAAATTAAGAACCCTGGTAGTTTTGATAATATTCACTGTAAAGCGAACGTAAATCTTACAAATACGACAGTATTATATGGATCATGAACCGAGCATGATGTCATTGCCGCCCTACTGAAATAATATAAGTCTGTCAATCGACATGCAATCGTCCAACTCCAAGGAACAAGAATGCCAAGTTGCAATTGCATGTCGATCGTACTTGAATTGCGGGGCGTCGCCCCCGAATGAATATCAACAAGGTGAGTAGCGCATTTTTATTGGAACCCGCAAAGGTTCATTAAACCCAGTAACAATTTACTTCGTGTAGTTTTTCTTTTTAATCCCAAAAAGAATGCACAGTGTGACAGTATTGGGTCTTTATATCAGGTTCAGATGACAAGAATAGTTTAACATCTTATAATACTTTTATTCTCTGCTTCTTACATATCAGTTACAAACATCGTTATGTTAAAGACACCCATAACTAACTTGTATTGAGGGAGCCATGTCCTAGCTTGGCACAACCAACTCTCAGACGCTCTCCCTCGTTCCGTCTCGTCCCGTGCCAAGACCCCCACGGCCTCCCCTCTCGTGTCCTGGCCGGACCTGACTGCTTATAAACTCTTTCTAGACAAAGGTTGTCAGATCAAGTCTTTAATACTGTTTGCATTACCAAACAAATGATATCTAAGAGATTATGCAGTTGCATCATAACTCAGGCCAGGGGTCGTAAGTAATGACTTCCGCGTGGCCGTTGGCCGCGTCAGACGAGTGTCAATGTCATAATCTGATAAGGCTAATCGATTTCATGTATGAAGGGTGTTATCCTATTATTGTGTAACAACAGACAAAATAAGTTCGCCCCCTAAAATTTCAATGTATAACCAAGTATGTATTATATTCAAGCTACAATGTTGCTTAACAAAACCCACTCATATCTATTATATTCGAGCAATTGCGAAAATCCTTTTATCCCAACATAATAATAAAACCATGGCCGTATATTCCAGTTTGTTTTCATGTTTTAACGATATAATTAATAAAAGATACGTTTTACTTCATACCAAAATTGATGTTACGGTTTAAACCCACTGTGGTCGAATTAAAATGTCCCAGTTATGTTGATCATCTAAGCAGATATATAAAGAAATCCCAGTATATGAATTAAGAAATGTAAAATGTTGCTTAACATAGGAAAATAATCGGTACAACCATCAAAATATTTAGGGGGTTTTCATTCTGAAATAATTTAGGGGGTTTTCATTCTGAAATAACTGATTTGCTCTTCACTTCTACTACTTACAATGCAATAACGATTTATTATTCTCATGTATTTATGTAAATGATATATCAGTGTTATTCTCACTATTGGGAGCGAATCAATCAGATACAAACAATAACTAAGAATTAACATACCAGATGTTACTCTTCAAAGAAATACTATATGATAAAAACATAAGTTTCTATTTTATAAACTATTAGACATAGTCTGTTGTTCTCTTATTTATTTTAATCTTTAATTAGATTATTATTTTAATCCACACAAAAACAAATATAGGCTAATATTTTAATGAATTAAACAGTATTTCTTTTTTGCAATGATACCTTATATTTCATTATCTAATTAGTACATGTATTATTATTTCTATTTAAGTAACTATAATACATGTGGATTAAACAATTCGCCATATTTATTAATTTTAGAAGCCAGTGCTACTAGTCATCAGGCATACTAAAATGTCACTCACCACAACCACCATAATTACATTTCTGATAAATGAAATTAAATTTGAGCAAATCATGCCAGAAATTCACAAAAAACTGGCTAATAGAAATTACGTTCACGCTGGGTAAGGAGCACGGATGCAATTACTTTTAGTCCGGTGGCTAGGTGGGTTTTGTTCAACATGGGAGGTGCGGAAGGTTTGGGATGCTAATGGTGTATTTCTGGGTTAGGAGATCCAAGAAACCCAATTCTCGTTTGGGGAGTCACCCATATAACCCCCCAAAATTGATTTATTGAACATGGCAGGTGCAAGTTCCACTTTAGTGACATTTGATAGAGGAATGTGTCCTGAATTAGAAAATATAACTTAAGAATGGGATTTTTGGTGGAAAGGCCTCTTAAGAAGGGGTCAAAGGTCACCAAATAGCCATTTTTCGGTTTTACTCAGAACTTTTTTTTTTCGTTATCTCGTGATCTATTCCAGGTATATTACACAAAACTACATGTTTTATACTGCTAGGAGAAAAAAATATGAGATATAAAATTAATGAAATTATAGCTATACTAAACGAAATTATAGCTATACTAAACATCAAAAAGAAAACGTCAGTACGATTTCAAAATCAGAGAGGCACTTTAATCAAATCATTCTAGAAAACGACTTACTAAATGGATCAAATGAATTTTTGTGAACAGTATGTTGACACATTAGTGATT